AAAGTAATACACCTCAAGAGTAGCTAAAGCAAATTGAAGAAATGACAAGATAAAAGACTTGAACAGAAGATTTCAAGGAACAGCTTGAGAAGACAAAGTCAGTTGTTATAATGAAATGTGCAAAGACCTGGAGTTAGAAAACAAAACAGAAGAACACACTCAGCATTTCTCAAGCTGAAAGAACAAAGAAAAAATATAAGCCTTGAATTGCAATATTGGAAGATTCTATGGGCAAAATACTGAATGATGCAGGAAACATCAGAAGAAGAGATAGGGAACACACAGAGTCACTGTACCAAAAAGAACTTGTCGATCTTCATCCATTTCAGGAGGTGGCATAAATTCAAGAGCCAATGGTATTGAAGGAAGAAGTTGAAGTTATGTACTGAGGGAAGTGATGAAAAACAAGGCTCCAGGAATTGACAGAATACCCACTGAGATTTTTCAATAAATGGATGTAGCACTGGAGGCACTCACTCAGCTATGCCAAGAGATTTGGAAGACAGCTACCTGGCCAAGTGACTGGAAGAGATACATATTTGTACCCAGTCCAAAGAAACGTATTTCACAGAGTGTGGAAATTATCAGACAATATCATTGATATCACATGCAAATAAAATCTTACTGAAGATAATTCAAAAATGGTTGCAGCAGTCTATTGACAGAGCGCTTCCAGAAATGCAAGCTGGATTCAGAAGAGGACATGGAATGAGGGATAACAGAGGTGATTATCAGATGGATCTTGGCTGAAAGCAAAGAATACCAGAAAGATGTTTACATGTGTTTTGTTGACTATGCAAATGCATTTGATTGTGTGGATCACAAAATTTATGGCTAATATTGAAAATAATGGGAATTCCAGAACACTTTAGTGTACTCATGAGGAATCTGTATGTGGACCAGGAGGTTCCATTGGAATAGAACAAGGGAATACTGCATGGTTTCAAATCAGGAAGGGAGTGTGTCAGTGTTGTATCCTTTCATCATACTTATTCAATCTGTATGCTGAGCAAATAATCCAAGAAGCTGGACTATATGAAGAA